CTTTGCAAATTTGAAAAACTCTTTGCAAATCCCTTGAGGGAATTTGCAATGTTCCTATCGGCTGTTGCAATATTCCAAACTTCATTTTAAATTTTCCTAACTTCCTGTTTTAATTTCCTAACTTCCTGTTCTGTTCTGAGCGTTGTTATTGGTTGATTATTTTTGTTAGCCAATTGCAGCACGCAGAACAGAACAGGAAGTTAGGAACTTGTAACAGGAAGTTAAGAACTTCTAACAGGAACTGAGGAAAATTTTTTTGGTTTTTAGCAACATTGCAAATTCCCTCAAGGAATTTGCAAGGGAGTTTTTTAAATTGCAAAAGTAATGAGGAAAATTGCAATCAATTTAGAAACTCAAAAGAGGAACGCTTCACGTAGTTTACCAGGTCCCGTAACTTGGACCATGTTTGCCTATCAATGCCGTTATAATTTACTCGAATGTCAACCTATTACTGATGGCCCAGAAATTTACTTGAAATTACTTGCAAACAAATATTGACACATCCTGGACCATCCTGTCCCAAGCTGCTATGACCAGGGGCATAGGAACCGGGGGGGGGAAGGCATGTCCCCCCCAGTGCCCTTTTTTGTGATGAAATTAGTGCCCTTTTTGTACAAGCTAATGTTGCTGTAAATACTAAATTAACATCAAAGGTGCCCTTTTTGTTTGGAAATTTCCATGTTCTTAAAAAAAATGTGGTCAAAAATGTGGTCAAAAACTTGCAATTTCGGCATGGTATGATTTCCGGGAAAATTTTTGTAAGTGCCCTTTTCAATGTCTTAAAGTGTCCCTGGAAGCGGTGCCCCCCCCCCCCATCTTTTGATGCTTCCTACGCCCCTGGCTACGACCCTGTTTGTGTCTGAACTGCCAGAAAATCTACCTGGAGGTCCATTTTAGATACTAGAGAGTTATAGATTGACGTTTACGGCAAACGTCAAACCGCTAACGAAGTTTTTGATTCTATAACTCTACTATAACAGCTTTTACACCAGTTTTGAAATATATTAAACAATTGTTAAACTTGTGCTCTTTAACAATGATTTAAGAAAGCAAATTAACCACTAGTCACGTATTCACCAAAGCAGTATATTAAGATTTGACGTTTGAAGTTTACGTTTGGCGTATAAATTTCATGCTTTAACGACTACAAGCCCTCGTAGCAGTTCAAGCATGAAATTTATACGCCAAACGTAAATTTCAAACGCTAAATCTTAATTTACTGCTTTGGTGAATACGTGACGAGTGGTTAATGGACAACTTGCATGTTAGACTAAATTATAATCTAAGCATAGAAAAGGGAATCAAACACCACAGCTAAAAAGAACATACTGAAATTAGTAAAAGTGCAAAATTTGGCTGCGAAATGTTGTAAAGCTTGGAAAATATAGCATTGCAAAGTTTGCATATTTTCAGTATATTTGTATTACGAGTGGAAATTGTTACCATTTTC